AGGAAAAGAAAACTTTGAACAGTCAACACAAAACAATCACAGCAATAATTACTATGATAAATCTATTGTTACTCATGTGTTAGGTTGTTTCGTGATAGATTGTTCGGGTTAGATATTTTAGTTAAATTAAATTTACCATGATGTAAAATATTTGCAAGTAACAGAGTGTAATGAATGGACTCAGTATTACTAATGCTAATGTTGCTACAATTTCACTAGTGAAATAGGAGATACTTAAAGTTGTAGGCACATTTACAGCACTTCCCAGAGTAGAAATAAGTACTGATACATTGAAAACAAAACGATGGGACTAATTTTATTTTATGAACGGATTGTGTAAATGTGTTGCAGAGTTTTAAAAATTTACTAGTAAAGCAATTTATAAGTATGAATTTTATACTTAGTTAACATCACGACTTTCCGGTAAACAGGTAGCGACGAAAGATCATTATAATTTTTTAAAACCAAAAAACGAGGTTTGCGAAAAATATAATGGACATATAAACACAATTTGTAACAATAAATATAAGTACTATCAAGAGAATCTTTCTCATTTCTCAGTTCATTACGTCTTTTGTGTTAGAAATCCAGTGTCATGAATAGTTATCAGTCTGGTAAATTATATTACTGCATATTGTTGGACAAACTTCTGTTCATCAGTTGAACAGATAAAAACGAATTTGCAAAATATGTTTAAATTATTCTAAATAACAAATGTATACAGTCAAAAACCAAATTCAACATATTTGGAAGAAGAATTTATATAGAAACTTCCGTCTTAAATTAGTTTTTGGTCGCTTAACCCTAGTCGAAATTTAAATTCAAATTTAGTTATGACTGATTCGTAATTTTCATAAATTTATCACGTTATTTCTAGGAAATGAAATGAACACCAGATGCTAATATATTTACAACTGGATTTTTTCTATTACATACTGTAATTTATGGACTGTACACATCAACTCGATTACATAATGAATAATTAAATAACTTGATTGAATCAATTTCTACAAACCATTCAACTAATTTTTTTAATTACTGAAAGAAAATCCGACCAATAGTTAGGATGGACACAGACTTTAATTAGTGTGACTTGGAATTCAAAATGAAACACATATAACTATGATAATATGACAGCGGAGAACTAGTTCATACATATATATAAAGGTCATTAATTAGATCAGCGTAAATATTGTGCAAGCATTAATTAATAAATTTCAAGAAATTTCCAAACAGTGAAATGTTTATTAGTACGTCTCTAAATCATTGGCATCGTATTCAGCGTGATGACAAAATATTCTAGGCTTTATCCTATCTGCTTAGAATGAAAAACACCATTGGGAATGGACTAACAGCTTACTAGTAAGCATAACTTCACTCACAGCATATTTTGCATTTCGATTTGAACTACTTATAAGTAGTTTATGTTTTACAGCATATTGTTGAATAAAAATAGGCTTAACGCTTCTGATAACGATGGATTGGTAACAAAAACCTTGTATTTTGGGAGTGATATTCCCTCAAAAAGCTTATTTGAAAAAGATAAACAATCACTTGGTAGTCATGCAAATAAATACTTTGAAAAAAGTTGAGCATATACCTGGTTAAGTACCATATTATTAAAAAGTACATTCGCAACATTTACAAGGTTCGATTAGATAATTTCAAATATTATTATGGAGATTGTCAATAAAAAAACAATATATTTTTATTATTCCAATCTGTAGAAGAGTTTAAATTCTTTTCTGAAGTTTTGTGATTTAATACGAGCCACTTCTTCAAAGAGTAAATAAACGAATTAAACAAGCTTAACCCATGTTTAAATAGTGTGAAAAGAAACAAAGCAAAAATATTTAGTACAATCAATCGAAATTGAGTCTGACAAAGTCAAGGTCAAGTCACTCTAGTCAAGGCTGTTCATGTGAAATCTGCTTGTGGATTTGTATGTGTTAATGGGTGTGAAAAATGTAGCATTTATAATGAGGAAGGATTGAGTTGAATCTATATATATGGTTATAGTGCAAAGCGCAGCATCACTGACGAGCAAGGTGGATCTGATGAAGCTGTGAATGGGCAGACTGGCGAAGCAAGGACAGCATTTCTACAAATGAAAAACATCTGGAACTCAAAATAACTGTCAACAAACACCAAAATCACAATTTTCAATACAAATGCCAAGACGGTTCTACTGTATAAGACGAAAACTTGGAAAACTACCCAAGCCATCATTCAGAAGATATAAGTACTTATTGACAGTTGTCTACGCAAAACACTTCAGATCTGCTGGCCAGACAATATCACCAATAACCCACTGCGGAAGAGAGTATAACATATCCCAGCGGGGGAAGAAAGAGAGAGAGAGGTTGTCAGTAGCCTATGCTCCACTGAGGGTAACAGGCGTAAGTGTGTAAATAAGTAACAGTGTGAAGAGAATCAAATATGGTAACTTGGATAGATAGTGCAAGACAGAAATATCGTAATCACAGAGACTGATGAAGGTAATACAACAGTAATTACCAATGAAAAGGATTATGATACTAAAGCTTTTGAACATATATCCACAGGTTCGTATAAAAAACTGGTTCAATAAAACTCCAAATACTTAAAAATCAAATCAGAGACAAGTCAACTTTTGGAATAACTAAAACCATTTATTGGTGTCGCTTTATGCTTAGGTGCATTTTGGTTTATCTAACATTTACAAATCATACATACCACTATGGTTTTTAATGGACGTCACAAGCACACCTACATGTGAATTATCAAAATATCTAAGCAATACAACGTACATAATGTAATTAAAATTTCCTGACTATGAATCAAGTATATTGAAATTAATTATAGCCAAAAATGAAACCTAGGTGGGGCATGATGTTGTGTTCTCATACACTACCATTGTTATTGACAGATGCCTAGCTTAGTAAATGGCTTATAGAGAGCGATCATGGTTTACACGACAGATGTCTTTTTAGCATCAGTTCAAGCATGAGGTCCATAAAACTTTCATTAAACTCAACCTTATTCACCTTCAATAGCACGCTATATCCAGTATAGCTGACTATGGCCATACTGTTTAAGACACAGAAACAAACATTTTTGCTAATGATAGTTATATGAACGATACTTTTGTCGTCATTAAAAAGATTTTCCCTTCAGATCGCTTAATACATTATATTCACTTACGAGAACGAAAACGACCTCGGAGATTTATCATGTTTGGATAGCTTAGTTAAAAGAAATTCAAGTGCAACTCTAGGTCTAAGTATATTCCCAGAACCAACACTAACTGTCAAATTGACTTCAACTGATAACATCCATTCAGTGAAAACTCTCTCTGGCCCTAAATCTATTTAGAAGAGCGTCCGATAGAGCAGAAATTTATAACTGACATTACAGTTTAACAATTTTCCTATGAATATTATTAAAAATGCAACAGAACGAAACGATTCACTGCTAAACAATAGTCCGAATGAGGTACCATGGATTGGAACCATAGTTTTACCACGCTGACATCCTACAACAGGAGAACTCCAAAGAGCCTTAAGACAATACAAAATTAAAGCACATTACAAAACAACATGCTCCCTTAGTAACGCTTTAGTTCATATAAAGGATGAAATCCCTTTGATGTTAACACAGTACCGCGTCTACAAATTAGGATGTACGGATTGTGATGGCTTCCATATCGAAAGATCGACTCGCGGAACCTAGACTCGAGTTAAAGAAAACATGAAGAACACAAAAACCACCAAATCATCTTACACAGCTTGGAAGACTCAAAAATTAATCATTAATAGCAGTACATACCAATATCATTAACTATCAAATCAATATTAAAAATATAGAAATAACAGAAAATTACTTTTTTCAAATCCAAAGAAGGGCAGGTAGCTGAAGCTCTCCATACAATACTAAATCATACTGCCCTAATTAGAAAAGAAAGCCTTAATATCCATTCAACTTGCAATATCTATCCGTTACCATATCTGATTCTCTTCACACTTGACATTATTACCTTACACATAAATTCAACTAAATCCTTCCTCATTATAAATGCTACATTTTTCACACCCATTAACACATACAAATCCACAAGCAGATTTCACATGAACAGCCTTGACTAGAGTCTCTTGACATTGACTTTGTCAGACTCAATTTCGATTGATTGTACTAAATATTTTTGCTTTGTTTGTTTTCACACTATTTAAACATGGGTTAAGCTTGGTTAATTCGTTTATTTACTCTTTGAAGAAGTGGCTCGTATTAGATCACAATACGTCAGAACTTTTCTACTTATTGGAATATTAAAAATATATTATTTTTAAGATTAATGAGTACAGTGTTGAAGTTTTTGTTAGTGAAGAAACTGTTCAACTAAAATGCACTATGGAATGAAAGCCTGGTACAAAACACATGAAACAGTTCAAATTAGTAACAATGGGTCAACTGTTTTTCCAAAATAGATCAAGTTGTTCATTATCAGCTCTTTATCTTCCCACAACAAATCAACACCTGAAACTGTACTATTCAAGAAAGTAATATTTCAGTTTTGTTAGTCTAACAGTTTTGGAATAAGTACTAGACAGAATTCCACTACTCATTATCTGGACCTATTCACTAACGATTTCTCTTACATGCTCAAAATTTTTATTGCTAGTCTACCTAACTCATTGTAAATTTCATCACTTCATTTAATTATACATAACCTGTGCAGAAGCAGTAACCAGTAATAAGCATAGCTGTCTCGTTGTAACAACTTGTATATCCTGTAAAACTCTAAGGGATGTAGAAAATTCCACTTAGTGACCAATGTAAGGAACCCAGAATTATCTAGGCGGCCATGGTGACTCTTACTCGTAAAATAGTGAGAATTTTACTGATGCACTGATCGTGGCTCACATGGTCAGAAGCTTTTATTCAAAATCCACAAATACAGCTAGGTGGATTCCTCAGAAAAAATAGGCCAGTCAAAACAAAACATAGTCAGAACAAAATTATCATTAATACTTTGAACGAAACGATTATATTATTACGTAAGCATTATACTTAATAATAATATGAACCATGTTGTTCATAAAAAATTTTTATAATGAAAGAAATATGTGTACATATGCTATGTGTACAAAAACACCGCATCCCATGCACAGACCATTATTTATCAGTCTTATTTGCTGGATTTAATCCATTTGATTTTGTTCCATTTTCTACTACCTTTCCATTATCTAGATTATCAGGTTTCTGCGTAGCACGCTTAGTTTGGTCGCCAGAACCAACAGAAACTTTTTTCGACTCTGTATTACTACCAAAACCTTCTTCGTTTCTTTCAGTTTCACGATTTGTTAACTTATTACTAATTAGATCGTGTAAAGCAAGTATTGCTCTCATTATAGCAGCAACATAAATAACAAGCATTTGGTCGTTAGTATTGACGTGAATTGCACGGACTGTATCATGCAGTTTGAGATCGGGAAGTAAATTGAAAATGTCCTGCAACTGGTATATTATACCATGATTAACAGGAAGCTTGTCGGAAGAAACCAATTGTAAGTATTCACGAATTTCACACAACTGTCTTAATAAACCAGATAATCCATCTAACTGACAGCCAATTCTTTGTGATAATGAACCAAGTGATGTATCCTTAATATCTCTGTAAACGAAAAAGAAAAATACGGTGGTTTAGTATTAAAAACACGAAAGGCATACGTGCATTTAGATTTTATGAAACAAATTAACGTATCTTTTCATGAAGGGACTTCTTGAAGTAATGCACTTTTGTATTGGTTGAAAAGAAAAACTGAACTTGTTAATATGTTTTTAACATAAGCCATTTTTTGTACTTTCAGTAATTACATATAAAACATATGACTAATTTCACAATTAAACTACCAAACGGTTTTGGGCTAGCTGGTTCTCGCCAGCAGGCTTCATCTACCATCTTCAAGGAACCGATGTTTACATTGACGTTCAAACTCACATCACCTGATGATACGATAAGAAGTTTTACAACGCAGCAACTTGATCATTGTGTAAGCAGTTGTTTTATAGAACATGTAGCTATGTGATGTTATGTATTTACTTAAATAGCTGGTTAGTAAGAAGCATTACACTGTATACAGCAATTAAAAAGGCCTTTATAATATGAAATTATTGTGATTATTAAAATCTTACCGTAGTAAGTGTTCAACACCAACTTCTTCAGCTTCTTCAGCATCCACTTCCGATCGAAGATGGTCGAAAGATTTCGTTGTTGGCGACCCATCCTTTAAAAAAGCCATAAATTATGATGAAATTTATGAAAAAAGATAGGTATCATGTGAACAAAGAACTTTGTAGTATTAAAAACAAACGGATTTCTGTTGACAAACCCAGATGATTTAAAATCTTACGTTCTACGGTCTTTAGATAACAGATTAATCTTTCAAACAAAACATGGCACATTTTTAATCAAAAAAACAGAATTTAGTATCACGAAAGAGATGTCCTATAGTTAACGAAGTATTAGAGAATAAACGCAAAAGCACTTAACAAAACTCATCTGTCCTATAAGCTTGACTTAGTATCTATTTACGAGACTAAAATCTGCAGCACGACTTCACCAACTTCTAGAAAGGACCTTAATTGCTAGCACGTTAGGTTACTGAATTATATGGTCTACATATTTCTACGGAGGTTAGGCCATTGATCAGGCAGAGTCACTCTTGACCTTACAACATTAAACAACGTATGGATTGTTGTTTTCTTTCCTCCAGATCACTTCGAAGAGTCGTGCTGCGGATTGATTCGAATATTTTTTCTTACGGACAACCAAACTCTGAAACTAGGGGGTGGTAACGACTTCCGTCAAACAACAGTTAGTCAGTCAGTTACAACATAGCACTTCGTACGTACGTACATCAGTTCAAGTTGTCATATCACATTAGCCCATAGATGCATTTGTCAATTTAATTCAAATCCCGTAGTGGCAGAGACAGTAGAAGTATTATCAGTAATCGGAGAGAATTAAAGTTTGAAGGAATTATTCAAGTAGTATAATTCAGTGAAATAAATTTAGAAAGAGAAAGGGGTGATAAGGAATTCAGAAAATTAGAATTTCAGAGAAAACAAAGGGTGAATGCACCTGCGCCATTGTAAATGATTTTCAGCCACGTCGCTACGAGTTTCTAACCATCGGTTACTATCGGCTCATGGATCCCAACCAGGTGACCTACACTTACCAACACGGCTCAGTGCAGTCTTCAATGACATCATGGATTTGCTAGATGTTTTGGTTTGGCCGCCCCTAGCTTTCTTTCAGCCTACTCTTACATCACAAAACATAGCTGCCTGAGGTAGTCGGCGGTTGTGCACAATGAACACATGTCGTAACCCCTTCAAATGATGAGGTTTCAATACTTAGCCAATCGATCTGCCGTCCCTACCTAGTACTCGTTTCATAACGACAGCATTGCTTACTCGTTTGTCCCACGATACACGAAAAATGATTCGAAAACCAGCAACCGACGACTATGTTTCGCATCCAAATAGTAGGATGGAGCGAACTGCACAGTACACACGTCCTTTGGTTAGCAACCGTATATCTCGCCTGCGCCATAGGTGACGCAGGATAGCAAAAGCCAATTGAGTTTTCTGTATCCGAGCTGAGATTTCGTCAGTGACCAAGCCATCAGAACTATTCAGACTCCCCGGATAAGTGAAGCGGTCAACACGCTCGACTACTTCACTCCCTATCACTAGTTCAGGTGGCGATGCAAGCCAACCCTGAAGCAAAATTTTGCATTTCGACGGGGAGAATCGTATCCCGAACATTCTAGCATTGTTGCTTAGGGTAGTAAGAAGACTACATTTTGTCAGCGTCTTCGACAAATAGAACCGTCATCGGCATATTCTAAGTCAACAAGCGAATCTCATGGTAGAGGATCCATCCTGAAAAGTAAGACAATGATGATGTGGACTCCAAAAGTATGTCTACGACAAGGTTAAGCAAGAATTGAGAAGGTGGACATCCCTAACGAACACCGCTTGGAGTAATCAACCCCGATGACAGTTCGCCATAAGCTCTAACTCAACCAGTAGTGTTCGAGTAGAGAGTCTGTATAAGGTTAATGTACTTCTTTGGTACACCTTTCAATCACTGACACTGCCACAGAACCTCACGATCCACAGAGCTAGATGCCGCTTTAAGGTCAAGTAACACAACTATAGCGGGACGTCGAAATGTGTGTTTATGTTCCGGGACCTGACAAAGAGTTAATATGTGGTCTATACAGCCATGTCCAGGTCTGAAACCAGCCTGATTTCTCGAGTCCAGTCAGTCAGTCAGTTGCAACGTAGAACTTCATACGTAGTACATAAGTTCATGTTGCCATACCACATTATTAGCACAGAGACGCAAATGTCAAATCAAATCCCATAGTGATAAAGATAGTAGAGGTATTAATGTTAATAAAGAAGACTAGAGTTCGAAGATATTATTAAAAAAATATAATTCAGTGAGATAAGATTATAAAGACAAAGGCAGAGGTCCCGACGAATCCAGAAGATTAGGATTTGAGAGAGCTCAAAGAGTGGATGCACTTGCGCCATTGCAAACGATTTTGAGCCATGTCGTTCAAGGTCTCTAACCATTGATGACTTTCGTCTCGCGGACCCCAACCAGGTAGTCTACATCTACCAACATGACTCAGTCCACTTGTCAGTGACTTCATGGATTTGTGCCATGTTTTGGTCTGGCCGCCCCTAACTTTCTTCCAACCTACTCCTACACCACAAAACATAGCTCGTCGGGGCAGTCGGTGGTTAGCCATACGTAACACATGTCCCAACCACCTCAACTGATGAAGTTTCACCACTTCATCGATTGATCTGCCATCCTTACCTAGTACTCGTTTCCTAACGACAGCATTGCTTACTCGGCTGTCCCACGATATACGAGCAATGCTTCTTAAACATCTATGATCGAATACTAGTAACCTACGAACATCTTCTACTCTTAACGGCCATGTTTCACAGCCATATAAGAGAACGGAACGAACTGCTGCGCAGTACACCCGCCCTTTGGTTAGCGAACGGATATCACGCCTACGCCATAAGTGACGCAGGTTGGCAAAAGCCAATCGAGCTTTCTGTATCCGAGCTGAGATTTCGTCAGTCACCAGACCGTCAGCACTGATGAGACTCCCAAGATAAGTGAAGTGATCAACACGCTCGACTACTTCACTCCCTATCACTAGTTCAGGTGCCAATGCAACCCAGTCTTGAAGCAACATTTTGCATTTCGAGGGGGAAAACCGCATCCCGAACATGCTCGCATTGTTGCTTATGGTAGTCAGAAGACTCTGCATTTTGTCAGCGTCTTCACCGAATAGAACTATGTCATCGGCATATTCTAGATCAGTAAGCGACTTTCCTGGTAGAAGGTCAACCCCTGAAAAATCTGACGAGCTTAATGTTAACTCTAAGAGGATGTCTACGACAAAGTTAAACAAGAATGGAGAGAGTGGACAGCCCTGACGGACACCACTTGATGTAGAGAATTATTTCTCGAGTCCATCAAACAACAATTATTCGCATCCACCAAACAATCATCAAGACTGAAAAGAATCCTTAAATACACGAACTTCATGCGAATGTGTCGGATTTGAAACAGCTGACCAATAATTAAGCATAGAATGATAAATTTTTGATATTGTAGGGAACCAATTCCTCTAAACTGTGCACAAACTCCAAATCCCAACCAATTCTTCAATCAATCAAGCTTATATTCTTGAAGCGGTAACTTATTCATGTTCCCTATTTTCACTCGATCGAGTTATTGTTGGTTTTCCTAAAGGTTGGAAGCCGATATTAGTATTACTAAATCATGGTCATGAAAAGAAGATAGTTGAACGATAAATGAAGGTCAGGAATGTTCTTACATGTTTTGTGTAGTTTGGTCTACTCCACTCTAAATGCAATAAAACAGTCTAGTAAGGTACACAATTAAGTTAATTTTTATTGATACCAAAACAGTTCCATTAGGTTACACAAGGGAGGTAAAATTGGAATGTTGAGATAAATCTCTTAAATCGAACGACTAAAACCGATGTCAAGTACTTTTAATACAATAGTTTGATAAAGTACATCAAAACAATTTGTGTTTATTGATCTTGTTCATCTAAACACTAGACTGTCGAGAAATAGGCAGCAATCTTACAACACAAGACTAGATCCGGAAAGATATTTATTGCTTGCTTGCGAAAAGCACTATGGAAACTACAGGACTGAAGTATGCTTTGAGTGGTAAACACAATCAGTCTCCTATCACACTTTTTCTAAGAACTAGTGACTTTATTCAGCTGTGTAAAGTGTGTTGAATAAAGTACAGCTTTATCTCACATAGCAGCTGATAATTAAGTAGCTTAACAACACTTATAGTGCAGATCGTGAGATGGATTCCTAAAGACAAATGTTATATAGAAACGAAACCATCGAATTTTCAACTGAATTGTAATCCCAGTTGGTCGAATGATTCTTTGCTGCTGTAATAACCACATCGTAGTTGTAGCATTACATGCGAAAGCATTATTAAGTGAAGCAGTGCAAAAACTCATTGCAGATTATGGACAAGCAAGTATTCCGAGACCAGTCATTGTATAAACTAACTGACGTGTTAGATGTATAAACGAACTCTTATAGAACGATCGTTCACTCCATATAGATAAATGTCACTGAACACAGTGTTCTGTAAAACGGCACTAAATATATCTATAAAAAATAGTTGTCAGTCGATGTTCCATGAAGCCCAAGAAACATAAAAAACCCAAGCATTTCTGAAAGTACGATAACTTACATCATGGACTTCTTCAACTGCGATATAAGCCTCAGTAGGTAAACCGTCAACTTCTTTCCTTCTGACATCAACAACTACCAGTACTGAGTTTGGAGCATATCTCCGGAAAAGTTCGTTAATTTTGATGTCGTTCGTACAAAGTTTTGGACCAGAGTGGTACCAACCAACAATTTTTTCCCGAGCTAGGCCAGAATATATTTATTGAAAAACGTTACCGTTAACTTTCTTAAACATAGCAAACATGCTTTCCAAATAATCGTGGTCGAGAAACCAAACATCTGGATCAACGGCATCTTCCTCGAAAGGAACTGAAGACTACACCCTAAGCATGTGAATCTTACCTGCGAAGCTATTGCTGACATCCAGAATGTTTCCGTTTAGTGAACCCAAAAGAACACCTACAACTCTTTTCTGACCACTGGTGACCTTTCCGGATCGACTATAGTGATCTACAACCCCAAGCAGTACAAGTGGATGAACCACTACTTTTTTTATTTTCGTTTGTCCAGGTGTCTTCTTTTTTACAGAATCGTTTTCTTCAGTATCCAAAGTCTGGGTCCAATCCAATGAAATAAACAGAATATTACCATACTGACTGAGCAGGACAACTTGATTAGCCGCGTAGATAATCGAAGGACACAAAGAAGGTCAGGACTATAATCTTCCTGTCAATGTCCAATATGTTAGTATGACAAATAATTTCCTTGCTTCGGTTTATTCGCGCCAGGATATTGTTTTAAACTTTTAGTATTCCTAATTTTGAATTGTCTCACCGTCAGTAAAACTAGTCAACATGATATCTGTATGAGTGCCTTAGGGGGATAAATGTATTTATTCCAGGTAGCTGAATAGCTAGAACCAGAGGATCTCGGGTCACTTGGTGACGTATCGTTTGACTATGATGTAAAAGATTTGAAAATAAAAGTAGGAGGCAGCAGGATTACTACATGGATAGACACGTTTTACAAACGATTAGACACGTAAAGAAGGATATGTGGTATTGGTAAAAAATAAGGTGGGGTAGAATGGGCTACTATTGACAAGTGGAGGCAATAATGATAATAACAGACAAGTTTAAGAACACTGTACAGGTGTAACTTATCAATGAGGAAACATCTTCCTTTCTCAATAGAAATAGTTAAACTTTGATGACGTCGAAAGACTGATCATCTGCCATGGACACGTGCATGGCTGAGAAAAATACTTGAAGGACCTAACCGTTGTGATTAATAGTGCAAAAGTATGTGGTGTTTGACTGCAAATATGTGAAAGTAAAGGATGAGGTTGGAGTAAGATCTTTTACCGGAACGACATCGGGTCTTCATAACGAAGTATATTCCTAGGTGATAACATTGATATTCATAGGATTTATTCCTCAGACTTACGAATTATTAGGCCTAGTATGGACATAGATATCAATAGAATTCAAAGGCTATTTAGACTTTAATTGCACTCCATAAAGGCATACTGAGCATTTAAACACATACTTGTTTGCAAAGTGATTTCGGGTTCCATCGAGACTCGAGGTAGTTCTCTTTTTTTTGAGAGATGGGCGACCACCAAAAGATTTAACATCTACATAATGAAACACCATAAATGAACTAGCTTCTTAAATAACGTAACCTGATATTAAGAAAGTGGATGTAGGTGTCATATACTGTCAATAAAAAATCGGCGCATTCATCAGCCTTCTAAACAATTCAAGGATAGCTCATAAATACAAAGAGTATTTTGGTTCATCATCTCTAGTATAATTCTTTTTCAGTTTCTGCGATATTTCCAACAGTGTTTCAGTTATCGCTTGGAAATCACCTCTTTCTACGTAAATAGAAATGCACTGAGTTTCGTTAATTGATTCAGTGTTACACTGACTTATTAAACAGTCTACCAAAATATCTTGCGCATTCGGAATTTGTGAAAGCTTCACATGAATTTTCTGTGTATCATATTTGCTTAGCAAGGCTAAGGCTTTGGCTGCATTTTTCAGGCGAGATTAATTCAAAGAGGTTTCTCATGTTGCGGCACGTGAATCTATTATCATACTTACAGCTTTCTCTTAGCCGAGTGAGTAGGCGAATCGATTACACGTCACAAATATTCACTTGATTTTGCGAAATATCCGTTCGGCTACATTACTACAGTTTATCCAATTTAAGTTTTCTTGAATGGACTTATTCTGAGAAGTATTTATTAGGCTCACTGAAAAACCTTGAAACCTATAGAGGATTTGTGTGGTAACCAGGCCCGATTACCTATGGTCACCACCACAGATCGGTTTAGTGCCAACTATCAGGTTAAGTCCTCCCGTAGGATTGAGACAGGGAAGAAAGCGTGATCGTGTATATTTGTTGGGCGATCTTGCGATATCATAATAATACCGAGATCATGCCGATGTTTACAGACGAGACTACTATGTGTACGTGATTAAGCTCGAAGTGACTGGCAGACGGAAAATTTGCTTCTCTTGATACAATTGATCAAAACGTTACTGTAAAACAATCACGGGAACAATCGGTTGCAATAAATGTTTCCATTACACCAATCGTGCTCTCTTCATAAAAGTAGATCACTACAGATTACTGATTTATGTGCGTGCACATTCTGACGACTTTGACTTTATATCTTCTTTGAAAACGGCTTTATATGGCCAAAATTCTTAGCCACCAAATATAGAAAGTAAGACTCCTTAGTGGTCCGAAATGCGATTCCGTATAGTAATAAGCTATGCAAAAATCTACTACTTCATTACTGTGATTCAGTTTTGGTTGAACCCGTTTATTGAGATGGAGACAATTAAAGGCCTAACATAGTGTCAGATTCATTAATTTATCTTATTCATTCACTTATACAGACAGATATAGGCATGCAAAGCCTGAAAGCGAAGTGAAGCAGAGTGTTGTAGGTGATTTAGCAAACTTCATTGGATGATTCCAGATTAACAATTTACGGTCGGACGAAATATGATGAGCAGGTGATAAGCAACGTAAGCGATAAAAACAGATAAGTTTACAAACGAATTCCTAGAAAGATAAAAAAATATGTGTGAATAATTACTCCAGAATAACTAGTAAAAGTAATTTGTCCAAGATCTAGCAGAAGCCATGTGGACTTGACATACTCGTAGGCACTATGGGTCGGGTTTTAATTAAAATTACGGCTTTCTAGTCGAAGATCTATCAGCCAATTTAGACACTTGTTTATTTCATCACTTAGACTCCCTGAAGTTTTACAGATGCACTTGGCTTTATCAAACATTAAAATTTCACTATGCTTTGTATGTCATAAAAATAGCAAGATTAAGATAAGTGGTAATTTTGTCACTTTTGAGATAAAAATAATTATTGATAGGCTTAGTTTTATGGGAACTCCGCCAGTAGAACCTTAGGGGCTACTGCCGGTCCCAAGCCCGGATAAAGGAGGAGGCGTGGGCATGGAGTTGGCGACCCCATTCCACCAAAAACTAACTTGCCAAAAAACGCCAACCAGGAAAAATTATTCAAACCATTTTAATACTGCCCTGGGAGTTGGGAGAATTAGAACATCGCGTGATGAAAGCCGAGTTCCCTCGGAAGTCACGGGGCCGATGCCTCTTCTCACAACCAGAGCAACCATTCTTTTAGGTACATGGAACGTTCGTACATTGTGGGAGACTGGAAGACTATTTCAAGTTGCCGCAGAAATGAAAAGATACAACCTCGAGGTGCTCGGCATCAGTGAAACGCATTGGACACAGATAGGACAACTGAGACTAGCTTCAGGGGAACTGCTGTTATACTCTGGTCATGAAGAGGAAAATGCTTCACATACACAAGGAGTTGTACTGATGCTGTCCAAACATGCACAAAAGGCACTGATAGGATGAGAATCTCATGGACCCAGGTTCATTAAAGCATCCTTCAAAACAAAGAAAGAGGACATTACAATGAACGTCATCCAATGTTATGCACCTACCAACGACTACAATGACGACGTTAAAGATCAATTCTACGAAAGGCTGCAGTCAATCGTCGATAAATGTTAACCAAAGGATTTGACGATTCTTATAAGAGACCTGAATGCCAAGGTTGGCATGGACAACACTGGATATGAAGACATCATGGGACGACATGGACTGGGAGAAAGTAACGAAAACGGTGAGAGATTTACAAACCTATGTGCCTTCAACAAACCAGTCATCGGTCGCACAATATTTCCGCACAAACACATACACACAAAGCCACATGGATTTCACTGGACCACACTACTCAGAACCAAATTGACCATATCTGTATCAACAAAACGTTCAGAAGGACTATGGAGGATGTGAGAACCAAGAGAGGAGCTGATATAGCCTCAGATCACCACTTGCTGGTAGCCAAGAAACCCTGGATAACGGGACAGACAACATCACAGAAGTTTAATACAGCCTTTCTTCGGGATACCGTAAAACTCAACGAATTCAAGATAGCCCTCACCAATAGGTTCCATGCCTTTCAGGATCTACTCAATGGAGAGGAAGCAACATTGGAGTACAATTGGAATGGGATTAAGGAGGCAATCACTTCAACATGTCAGGAGGTCCTTGGTCGCAAAAAACAGCATCACAAGGAATGGATCTCTGTTGGTATTCTTGAAAAAATTGAAGAAAGGAGTGTTACGGGAGAAACGAAGACATTTTGCTGATCAAAACCTTTATATAAATATAACTAATTTCACTGTGTTTTTTGGGCACATTTGTTTTACTTAACTTATGAACTTGTTTGAATTATTATTTCGGCCATTTTGGACTCCTGTTTCTCTTGGTTGTTCGTTTGCAGTTTTTTGCTCCAAGAACCCTTAAAATAGAAGGTAATTGTAATTATTATAATTATTGTTGTTAGAACGACATTGGTCGTCTATTTGTAATAACGTATTTTGGTCGATTTTGTGATTTGGAATAAACTTTGGTATCTACTTTGGAGTTTCGTTCTTATTTAATATTTGGGATCGTGAATTGGAAATAGATCGACAACCGTGCTTCAAAGGATCGAAAAGCAAAAAACTGGACGTAACAAAAGTTCTTCTATTTTTGGCTTTGTCACACATTGGATTCTTTTGGTCGTTTGGCTCCAGAGGTTCTTCAGTTCAAATTTTGGTCGTTGGAAACTTTTGGAAATTTGGGTCCAAAAGTTCTTCTAACTTTTAATTTGGTCGTTGGATACTTTGGACAATTCAATTTTGGTTCTTTGGTTATACTTTGGATACTC